GTTCTGGTCATGTTTCACGAATAATACACAGCGATTGTTTGTTTGTGACATTGACGAAATATAAAAAAAAAGAATTGAATTCTTGATCAGTTGAATCTGAGCTTAGCTGTGCTCCAGTTTGTTGCTTTGCTTGTTTCTCATGGCGCTCTGTGTGACGGTGGACAGGGACGATCGAGACACGCTGGCCGTCTCCACAATCTCAATGTCCTTACAGGTCAAGCAAGCCACCAGCTTCTGTCTGGACGCACTGGGGGCAAAAATAAACTCGTGGGATAGTCCAGCCAGGACTGCACCTAATATTGGCCCGATCCAGTAGACCTGAACACAAGAGGAAGCAGAGACTTGCTCCAAAAGCACTTTTTTTGTAAGAAAACGTTTTCTAGATGTTAATTGCGGAACTGTGTCATTTCCGTTTGTATTAATTAGTACTAACTAGTCAGCAGAGCTGCTTGAAATGGCTGTTTAACTCACCCAGTGGTGTTCCCAATATCCAAGTATTATAGCGGGACCGAGGGAGCGAGCCGGATTCAAGCTGGCACCAGAAAACCTCCCCTGAAATCCACACACATACATTTAAAAATAATTATTATTATGTGTATTTACAATAATGCATGCAGAGGGAGGACAGCATGATCTTTATTCATAAACATAATAATTAAAAATAGCTGTCAAATGGACAATAGATTCAGTGTTCTTGTAGTTTGGCTGGTAGTTCACTATGTTTAAGTCATAAGAGATGTACATACACTACCGTTCAAAAGATTGGGGTCGGTGAGGTTTTTTAATGTTTTTAAAAGAAGTCTCTTCTGCTCACAGAGGCTGCATTTAATTGATCAAAAAATACAGTAAAAAAATACAGCAATATTGTGAAAAATTATTTCATTTTGAAATAAGTGTTTTCTATTGGGATATAAAATGTAATTTATTCCTGTGATCAAAGCTGAATTTTCAGCATCATTACTCCAGTCTTCAGAAGTCATTCTGATATGATGCTCAAGAAACATTTATTATTTTCATCAATTTTGAAAACGGCATTTTTGTGTGAAACTGTGATCCTTTTCATTCAGGATTCTATGATGAATAGAAAGTTCAAAAGAACAGCATTTTTTTGAAATAGAAATATTGTAACATTATAAATGTCTTTACTGTGAATTTTTATCAATTTAATGCATCCTTGCAGAATAAAAGTATTGATTTCTTACAGCAATAAAGATTGCAGTGGTTACAGCAAACCCAATGGCTAAGTTCCCAGGTTCGTTTATTTCTCTCCTGCGTTGATCTTCCACAGAAAACACGGTGAAGCCCAGGACAAACGTGGCAAGCATCTCCATCACGAGAGCTTGGCCTGCGTTCATGTCCACTGGGACCTTCAGAGAAGGAAACGAGACGGGCGTTTTAGATTAGACTAGAAATTAAGAGCAAAACATCTTTAAACAGTACATTTCTAAACACAGCTCTTACAAAAAAAG